GGAAGAGCCACACGGCAGCTTTTGCTGTCGCACGGGTGAGCCAGACTAGATGGAGTGACGACCTGGTAAGACATGAAATGAAGAGCTGTAATGAATGAATGTAATGAATGGGTGGACCAACTCGAACCGATGAGAACCACGACCTTACAGATAACCAGCGTGCAGTAGAAGTTTACTTCTCTTTCGAGAGTCTTTTTACTTCTACCCCTCTTCCCCTTAACATGGTAGTGTAATTAAATAAGAAGGGTACCAGCACCTAGTATTGGAGAATCCCTGGCTGTGCATCCACGCCCAAGCCACCCCACTCTTCCATAGCGCGGGTGCTCAGGCTGCCTCGCGTATCCTGGGGATGGGGGGGGGGGGGGGACAAAATTCCGCTCAAGACTAGAACTGATCGTGGCAAGTAGAGCAATAAGAGAAAGGTAACCCCTGCCACTCTATCCGTGAATTTCTGCAACATCAGGGGATTTTATTCGAACGTTAACGAAGTCCACTAGGTACCACATAAAGACGGCGAAGCTAACCTTGCTCTTTCTAACCGAGACGCAGGTGCCCTCTCCGGTCAATACTTCTCCTATCCGGGGTACAAATTATAATACCTTTGTACCACGTGCTGGAATTTGCGTATATGTCAGAGAGGACATCTGTTCTCGACGCCTCGGCAGTCTTGAAGGTCAGCGACGACCATTCCCGCGTCTACGGGTACTCTATAGGTAATTGCGACTCAGACCAACTCATCGACCACGTCCAAAACGATGCAGACTCCGTTTTACAACAGGTTCCATCCGCAGAGATCGTGATCCTTGGTAAATTTAACAGCCACCACGCTGAAATCAGGTCTCCGTCGACGCCCATCTTGGCTCATTGGACCAATGTCCGATCTGGAATATGGTACCACTCACACTCCCATCGCGGTTGTGGGCTGAAGATCGCCGCCGTGTTTGGCACAGGGACAGGATTTGGGACAGGATGTGATCTTTTTTGAGAACAGGGGAGGGTATGCTTCTCGATGGATGATTCCAAAGTGATTCTGTCGCTGATGTATCTATCTTTAAAAAAAAGGAGTTTCAAGAAACGAGGTTATTCCTTTTTCAAAAGCCGGCAAAGCGCCTGCAATTTCCCTGGTGTTGTATTTGTTAATAGGCGATGGTCGACACTTGCCATTAGGTTAGCCGCATGCTCGTTTGTCCTTCTCTCTTCTATATTTTTAACAGTGGTAGAGCCACGTGGCGGCTTTTGCTGTCGCACGGATGGGCCGGCTCGAACCGGTCTGGTACCACGACGTCACAGAATACCAGCGTGAAGTAGAGGTTTACCTCTGCGTTTCGCTTGGTGAGTGCAGGTGGCCGGAGGCCCTTTTTACTGGAAATGAGGCATTCCATCTTAGTCCTCACGGGTGACAACGCATCTGCATTTTGATTTGCAATAGAGGATAGATGTAGATGTCTATGGGCCGCAGCAACCACTTACCATCAGGTGCACTGTGTGCTTGTTTGTCACCGTTTTCCTATAAAAAAAAAATATAAAAAGAAAATAAAACGAAGTAGTCAACTAATTAAGAATCTCTCATGAAATCAAAAAAAAATTAACAATGTTATATTTGTTTTCTGGAAGTGGGAGTAATTTTTGTGATTTCAGGTCGAGCCGTTCGCGGTCAGGGCCAAAAAGTTAAAACTCGAAAATTCTTTATACAACTAGGATAGTACATAATTTTTCGAACGTCGTTCTTAGAGGCCGAGGGGCCCCTTTAGCTTGGGGACCCCGGGGCACTGCCCCGCATAGCCCCTGGGTAGCTACGCCACTGCTAAAGAGTCGCTGCGACAAAAATTTAAGGAAATTAATATATTAACTTTGGCCTCTCAATACATTTATGAAAACGTAAAGTACGTACACAAAAATAAAAGTAGTTTTACCAAAATGTTATTCATTCTGTAAATACTAGGAACAGACACAAGCTAGTAGTACCAGTTACTCGACTCCATCGAGTCAGTACTTTAATAATAATAATAATAATAATATTTTATTTGCATAAAACATGGTATATAATAGATTTTACAAAACTTTTCAGATCAGCATGTTTTGCTACGGTTATTCATAGCATGCAAATTTTTTTTTTTTTACATTAATATTTTTGGCTACAAAAATCCTTAACACTATAGAAATTACAATTATTTAGCCACTGATATAGTTTTAATTTAAATGATCTTGTATTTAATATTTTTAAGTAATTAGGTATCTTATTATATAACTGAACACACATAAATAAACAACTTTTATTATATTTTCTTATTCTAGGATTATCGTTTAGTATAAGTCTATATGGATCTCGATGACTGCGGGGATTTACATCATCTATCGTTGTAAACAACGTTTTGTGCTTCTGTACAAACATACATACTTCATAGATGTAAAGTGATGGTAGTGGTAATAAGCCAAGTTTTTTAAACACTGGTCGACACGATTCATTCGGTTTTAGCCCACATATAGCTCTAATGCATTTTTTTTGCGCGACAAATGCTTTATTTTGATCAGTGCTGTTGCCCCACATTATAAGACCATACCGCAGTAAAGATTCTACGTATGCATGGTAGGACATGACAGCGGTTTTTATGTTTGTTATGTTTTTTATTTGTTTAAGTGCATACACGAATTTATTTATTTTGATAGAGACATCATTTACATGTGGTTTCCAATTTATATCGTCATCTATAATTAAACCTAAAAATTTTGTATGACTAGCTGCTTTTATTTTTGGAATGTTAAGTTTAAGATTATGTTTATTATTAGTGCATTTATTAAATTGTATATATAAAGATTTGTCTAAATTAATTTTTAAATTATGTATGTCAACCCAATTTATTAAAGTATCTATTGTATTATTCATGTCAGCTTCGTGGTCACTCATATTATTAATTTTTTTATTGGAAGTCACGATTATGGAAATGTCATCAGCAAATAGAATACATTTATGCTTCGTCATATTGACAATGTCATTTAAGTACAATAAAAACAGAATTGGACCGAGAACACTTCCCTGTGGAACGCCATATTTATTGTTTCGGTATTCGGACGAGTACGTTATTATGTCCCCATTTACATCTGCTTTAGTAACAATAACACATTGTTGCCTATTATAAAGATATGATGTAATCCATTGAAGTGGTGGTCCTCTAATTCCAATTTTTTCCAATTTCTGTAACAATAGGTCATGTGAAACTAGGTCAAAGGCTTTAGATAGGTCAAAAAATAGTCCCGTGGTAAAATTATTATTATTGATATTTGAAAGTACTATTTTTATGAGTGAAAAAATTGCCAAAGTTGTAGATTTATCTTTTTGAAAGCCGTACTGTTCGTTTGATATAATGTGATATTTATTACAAAATTCAAGAAGTCTTTTATACATGCATTTTTCATATATTTTTGATATAACGGATATTAGGGTTATAGGTCGATAATTATTAATATCACATTTCTCTCCTTTTTTAAACAGTGGCTTAACTATTGATAGTTTTAATGCATCTGGAAAGATTCCACAAGAAAATGAAAAATTAATTAAATATGTCAAGATTTCAATTAATTCCATTATACATTTTTTAATTATTTTTGTGTTTATGTCATCGTAGCCTTCAGAGCTAGTATTTTTTAATAGCATTATTTCCCTTGTAACCTCATTTTCAGACATAGGTCTAAGAAACATAGAGTTGATATTCGCGCTGTTAATAGTTACATTTTTCGCTGTAGTGTGTGTTGTTGATTCACAGGTCAAATCAATAAAATGATTGTTAAAAGCAGAAGCTATATCTACAGGATTCGTAAGAACTTTATTATTAGTTATAATTTTTTCTATATTTTTCTTGTCATATGGGTTACATATTTCGTTTTTGATAATGGTCCATGTTGCTTTACATTTGTTATCATTTTTATTTATAAACTTAATATTAGCATTCTTTTTTAAGTTAAACACACATTTTTTTAAGAGCTTAGAATATGATAGGTAACGTATTCTGTTGGCATTACTTTTATTTTTATAATATTTAAATCTTAACATTCGTTTTGCTTTACAACTTATTTTGAGGCCTTTGCTCATCCAATTTTGTTTTTTATTTTGTAAATTTATTTTGATTCGTTGTTTTGGAAAACAAAGATAGTAGAAAAGGCAAAATAATTCATGAAATCGGCTGAATGCTGTGTTAGCATCATTTTCCATGTATGCCTCCGACCATGACAAATTTTTTAGGCATTCTTTAAACTTCCTAATGTTATCTAAGTTATAGTCTCTCTTGTAAACATAATATATAGCATGTTTTTGTGGCTCACATTTTATAGGAAAGCTTAACAACTGTGCTGTGTCATGATCGGAAAGATGCAGTGGTAGCAATGTTGCAGTCGCATTTTGAATGTTACTTAATATATGATCGATACAAGATGATCTACGTGTAGGAACATTGAAATGTATTTTCAAGTTATAATTATAAGACAAATCTTGTAAATAGTTTGTGATTTTGCCTTTTTTTAATGTGTTTATATTAAAATCTCCAGCTATAACTATATGTACTTTAGATTTGTATTTTACAGTTAAGTCATGCAAAAGTGTGTTCAACTTAAATAAGAACTGTGTTGGGTCGGATTGGGGAGTTCTGTAGAGACAAATAGTAATTAATTTAATATGTATGATTTCTATGCCGCATGCCTCGAACGTATTCTGGGTAGCATAATTTTTTATGAACGATAATTCATTGAACATTATACCCTTTTTAACTAAAATACATGTTCCACCTCTTTGTTTTTCTCTGCAGAAGTTGGCGGCCATGTCATACCCACATATTCTTACATAACTCTCAAAACCTTTTTTTATGAAAGTTTCGGAAAGACATATTACATCCGGGTCATTATTTTTAGCTCTTAACTCCTCTATAGTTACGTCTATTAAATCTTGCTTTGGTAAAACACTAGCAATGTTTTGGTGAAAAATTCTAAAATGACGAGTGTAAATTAAATTTTTATGGTCGAAAAAATTTATCGTTCTTTTTTATTACCGGAAAATAATAGGGCATGGTCCCTTTCTTATAAATAACAGGAGGTTTTGAGTGCGCGTCAGTTTTTTTTTTAAAGTAGAAGGGAATTGTTCCTTTTTTTGGTTTATTTATGGTGTTACTTAATTTAAAACTTGGCCTATTACTCGCTATTCGTTTACTAATTTCACTAGGATTTAAATATTTTTCTTCGTAGTAACTATAGTCAATAGCATAATTTATTGATTTACAAATGTCGAAGCGATTAGAATATTTTTTACAATCTATAAACTTACAATTTTTATATCTTTCGCAAATATTTTTAATACGATAGTTTAAATTATTAACATTTATGTACCTATTTTTAATAACATTTAGTACAATTATTGTATTTTTACTAAAAGTAACTATTATAGCTTGTAATTGTGACAAAACTTGTTTTATATTATGATCGTTTTCTCCTAAACATATGACTAACTTATCATGCGATTTTAGTTCCATGTTGTGGCAATTTTTTATTACTTCGTTACTTGGTGCATAGGGTTTCGTTTCACCAATAACTCCATAATGTTCATATTGTGTGTCTGATCTTGAGTGTGATATAGCTGCGGATAGGCCAACGCATTGTTGAGAACCGATGATGTAAATTATTTTTTCATGGCTGTTATTTTGCTGTCTCATCATAGGTTTTGAGGTCTTGCTCCATTTATCCTTTGTTTCATAGTCAATATTTTGTGTCAGATTTGTTATTTTTTTATTGAGAGATGCGATCTCTTTTTCTGCATCTTTTAATTCTTGTTGCAAGTTGGTAATTTTTTGTTGAAGGCTTGATATCGTCGAATTAGGGTGGGGATAGGTATATGATGTGACTGTCGGTGAAGATGGCACGGAAGATAGACTATGAAGTAGCAAAGGGTGTCTCTTCTTCTTAGTTGTATTGCCTGATTGAGGACTGTCAATTTTTGTGGGAGAATAGCATAGCGATTTTAGTATTTTAATTTCTGAGGTTAACTTATTTATCTGTCTGTGAAGATCGTTATTTTCTAATATTATGTTTTCTAACTCATTTTGAGTACTACGAAGGTTACAGGTTAACTGAGATATTGTAGATTTCATTTCTGAGATTGACGTTGTCTCAGACATTGTGCCGTCTACACTCTTTGACAATTTACTAGGCGTTGAAAATGATACATCAGATATATTATAGTCCGTGAGTACGTGCGAGTCTAATGTGTAAGACGTATCCTTCTCCGATACCTGCAAAGATTCAATACATTGCAATTTCTCTGTATTACATGATTCTTCTAGGGATGTACATTGTCCAGGGAGATTTTGTTTTTTTCTCACTGTGATATTAGTTATATCGCTATTCACGTCTTTTTTATTTTTTATACATGTTTTGCATCGCCATTTCTTTTTTCTTTCTTGATCCATTAGGCGGTATGTTTTTTCCGGGTAGCCATCACAGTCTAAATCATACCTATTTTTACATAATGAACATATTGCAGTTTTCTTTATATCAACTAAGTTTTTGCATTTATAACATGTTACTACTACCGGCATCTTGTGGCCGCTATTAGTAGTTTTCACATTGAATTTAGATGCCATGTTATTGAATATTATGTGCAAATCGACTACACTTTACTAGATGGCACTGTTATGATTAATGTTATGATGTATTTTTCATGTAGATTTTTTCAAATTTTCGAGTCGGTTAACGGTCTTACATAAAAATATTTTATGAAATTTTTGATTTGTGCAATTAAATATTGATAAATATGAGTGATAAGGTATAAATAAGGTAAAAAATAAACTCACGACACTATTCAATTGTTACAATCACTAAGTTTTTATTAGTTCACTAGTTATTACACTTCACTTTAAAATGTTTGATTATGCAATTAATCTTACAGTTTTTGCACTGATAACATTATATAGTATATATTAGCACCAAATATACTGAATCATAACAAATATCCGGTTACTATCACGATAAGACTATTTATTTACTATTTTTATTTACGAGCTCGATGTTTACGGTGTCACTAGCGACATCTGACTATTTACATACATATATGACATACTTAATTCATTCTTGGGGCGATGTATACGCTTTTACAACAAAATTCCAGAAAATATACAAAATTTGACCTGCTCAAAGTTCGAAAACTTTATTAAACTAAGTTTGTATAAAAAGGGTTATTATAATATTAAGGAATTTATGGATGATAATAACCCCTGGAAATGAGTGATCGCTACTAAGCTATTTCAAATTTTTTGTGTTGTTAATTTGTGTAACAAACATGATTGTAAGCTGTTAGTTAAAAAAAAGTCCCGCTGGGTTTCTTGCTGGTTCTTCCCAGGGCAGAGGTTTTTTTCGAACCAGTGATAATTAAACAAAAGAGTGACTTTCAATAAGTATTATTTATAATCTATATTGTATAAAAAAGTTTCTGTGTCTGTTTCAGAAATACGAAATAGCCAAAAACAGAATGACACTTGTACACCTCACACCATCCGAGCATCATCTCATAAATCATTCATTGTTTCCATGGGCAGACATTTAATACTAAAAATTGCGTCACTTTTACATATAAAAATCCACTTCAAATTAATAACATATAACGATAAAACAGTGTATTCTTTTCTGCGTAAATCGAACCAAAAATTAATATTAAAAACTGAAGGTAGCCGGGCTAACTGTGACATCGGGACGTCAAACATCTCAGTCCCCCCTCGTGACCATGGGTTGCTGTAAAGCACCCGAAACGTCGGGAATTAAAATAGTAAATTAAAGGCGATAAAATCCGTAAAAATATAGTTTTATTCAATACATAGTACATTAAAAATCAAAAATCTTGAGATTATCCTCTTTAAGTCATTATGTACCCAACTATCTATTTATTAACCAAAATAAATGTATAACCTTACCTAATCAACCGCACAGCCTTACGGTCACACTAGTAGGGTGCGTTGGGGTAAGATCGGTGATGGGGCAAGACAAAATTCATATACATATCAAAATATTCAAATTCCCGGCGAATTATGCTATATTTTGATATGCTAACAATATGCTACACGACGCCATTTCATCCTGCCCCGACCCTCAGTTCGCGCTTCGCGCTAGTCGCTCCGGAAAGTGGGACCTGTGCTGCGCGGCATTTTATAAAACAATGTAATTTTTGTATTATTTTTGTCCATCCGATCTTTCCCTATCACTTTTATTTACGATTTTTAGCGAGAATATGGCTTCTTTTGTTATTATTTTGTGTGGATACTAAGTTATAAGAAATTATAGCTAGATAAAGCTGGTTCATGCAGGGCTAAGGTCGCTGTAGGCCGAGATCCGATGTTTCCCCTCGTGAGTGAAGATCGGATGAATATTATCCAATCTTTGCCCGTTACAAATATGGCAGTGGTTGTTAAACTTTCATTGGTCGTGAATATTTTTTCGGAGACTACTCAACTAACGTGACTATGGGACTCAGTCTCGTTAGCAAGTCTATATATTTATAAGTAATAAAACAATACGATGGTTTTATTACTTTTAAGTACACATTAAAATACATTTTTTTATAGGATAAGGTTGACAAAGGAGCACCCAGCACCTGATGTTAAGTGGTTGCTGCGGCCCATAGACATCTACATCTATCCTCTATTACAAATCAAAATGTAATTTATAATGATTACTTACTACTTTTTGTATATCTCAAAACTGATTGAGTGACCTACGTACAACCAGTACAACCGGTCAACAAAATAGCCTTCTTTTTAAAATTTTAATATAATTCTACCACACTTGGAGAACTGCAGATGCATTGCCATCCTTTTGAAAAGGAGTTTTTAACCACGTATATAAATGTTTCTTATATAGTCTTACGCTTAGTAGTTTAAATTCTTTAGCTATTTTATTATATATTTTTCCACATATTTTTAAGGCAATTTTTGATATATTTAACGAGTCTAGGAATAACATCTAGGACAAGTTTGTCTGGGTCACATCGGTTTCGAGAATATATATGTATCACTTCCTTTAACAAATAATGACTTATTTTTAAAAACAAACACGCCAACTTTATAATTGTATAGTGACGGGAGGGGTAATATACCTAGTCATTTAAATAGCGGTTTAGAGTATACAAGAAGAGTAATCCGTCTAAGGTCAAGTTCCCACCAAAACTTTTAATGACAACTACAATGGCATGTGATTAAAATCCGACCAATTGTGTGTAAAAAGCGTTAGTATTCGTTAGAGCGACGTTTTTATTAGGTAAAACAGAAACAATGATGATAATACATATTTACAATTGAAATTCGTACGAAATTTCCGTTTACTTAATTTTTCTAAGAAATTAATTATTTCATAAGTATTTTTTCTTATTTATTATAATAAATTTATATAAGTGTTATTGTTATTAATTTATGCTTGATGAAAAGTAATTCAAAATTTTATTTTATTTACAACATGTCGCACTCGTACCATAAGAATTTGATCGAAACTATATTCTACAGATCAAAACACAGTCAAAGAGTATATCAAGAAATCAGGAAACATTTCTTTAAGGCCGGTCAAATACTTATGGAATTCCGTTCGGGATTCCATTTCGGGATTCCGAACGCAGCATGTCCATATAAAATCTAGGACCCGTCACACACGTACAAGTTTTCCGTTCGAATTTTATTTCAATTCGAAATTCCGCATGGTTGCCTGTGCGTTCGGAATTCTGCACGGAAAAAAGCCGTTCCGAGCGCAAGTCTTCAAAGTTTGTATGAGTCGCAACACACTTTCGTAAATTCCGTACCGACGCGCCCAGTTTGCGTCGCACGACCGAAGCTAGGAGGCGTGTTTATGTATGTTTTTACATGTAATCTTATATGTATATCTCTTTTCGTAACCTTTTGTCATAATTTTTGTTTCATAATTCGTCGAGAGAATTTACAGATATCCATATTTAAAAATAATCTCTGGATAGATAGATTTCTTTACACAATATTGACTATATTGCAATATTAGGGTGTTAAGAGGATGCACCCAGTAACAATGATACAGCAATAATGAAATCGCAATCAGAAAATCATCGTCATTATTCGCTGCCAGAATGTCTAGTCTAAATGGCTAACGTCACTCAACTGAGCCATGTTATTCTGAACTTAAATAAACGTATGTGTGTGATGTATTTAGGAAATCCCGAATTGGAATTCTGAAACGGCATCCCGAACGGGTTGGCCACATACATTAGGAATCCCGCTTTTCTTGCAAAATTTCGAACGGAACACTACTGAACGTGTGTGATAGGTTCTTGATCCCGAATCTTAATTTCGAAATGGAATCCCCAAACGGAATTCCGAATGTATGTAGCCAACCTAACGGTATTTGCTACATATTTATTAATTTCATTAAGATTTTGGCTTGGATGCTTTGTCTTGTAAGCCGTCTTCAATTATCTCTGTAATCCTATATAGTACTGCTTCACAATATGTTGATGCGTCACATTGCTCAGCCCTTGGGAGATTTTGACAGCAACTTGAGCCAGCAAACAGTTGGCGATAGTATGTCATGGCGCCTAAGCAGACAAGACACCTTACCTCGAGATTCATATCACCATCGTAGCACTTGTTTCACAGTTTCCACTAATAGTTCGCATGCGCAGATATTTAATATACAAAATTGCACTACTTTTACACATCAAAATCCACTTTAGACCATTTTCTATTCATTCCATATCAATAATATTCCCGCCAAAACTCGCTACATATTTTTTTGTCTATGGGTACCATAGATAACTAAAATTCGGTATAGTACGTCCATAGATAATATACTATAGAGTACGTCCATGTCCATGATTACGGTACATTAATTAAATATGGCGGCATTTTAGTGGCTTGGTAAAATTAGAAGCTTCGCCAATTTTGTCCGCTAATAGTGATATAAAGCCTAAAAATTATTCAAATCATTTAGATATTCGTTGTTATAAAAAAGTTTACGGTACACAGTGTGATATAGGATATAAATTTGTCATCTATTTATTGAAATATGTAAGTGACTAAAGGTAGCGAAAAGGCATGAACATTTTAGCATTTTTTAAATGATTTTTTTTGTTATATAGGTATGACGACAGGCGCGGTGGTCGTGGAGGTGGACGTGGGATGAGCCGTGGAGGTCGCGGCGCCGGCAGAGGAGGTACTCGGGGAGGGCGGTCAAGTGATAGATCGGAAGATAGGAGTAGTCGTTTCGGTGCACCCCGTGGCCGAGATGGCGGCAGAGGGGGAAGAGGTGGTAGCTTTGGAAATCGCGGCGGAGGCGGTCGTGATGATTTTAGAAGTTTTAAGAATGACCAACCGGGCGGTAATTTACGAAAGATCCGTTGGGACACAGTAACACTGACCCCATTCCAGAAAAATTTTTATGTCCCTCATCCAAATGTTCAAAAGCGTTCACCAGCCGAAGTCGAGGCATACCGTAGTGAAAACCAGATCACGGTCAAAGGGCGGGATGTGCCGGCGCCGAGTATATATTTTGAGGAAGGTGGATTTCCAGATTATGCTATGAGGGAAATTTTGAAGCAAGGCTTTCCTCATCCTACACCAATCCAGGCACAGGGCTGGCCAATAGCCCTGTCTGGTCGAGATTTAGTTGGAATAGCTCAAACTGGCTCTGGAAAAACATTAGCATATATTTTGCCAGCTATTGTACATATTATTAACCAACCCAGGCTGTTGAGGGATGAGGGGCCCATAGTACTTGTTTTGGCACCAACTAGGGAGCTTGCACAGCAAATTCAACAGGTAATTGTTGTGGCAAATTTTTGTGATTTAATTATCAAAAAATTGTATTGTATAAATTTTATTGCATTTAATTTGATATACTTAAAACCTCAGATATAATTTAAAAATGATTCATTTAGGTTGAAAAGGAAGCAAGAAATAATTTATTGGGTCATATTTGATAATCATTGGCTTGATAAAGATGAATAAATATCTTATATTTTTTGTGTAATTTTAAGAGCCTTGTGCATATTTATATATGGTGATTGCTTTCATTGACATTTTTTTTATATTACTGTTACTTAATAACTTAAAATTCTACAAAGATTTAGACAGATTTATTCTGTTTAAATATACTACACAATTTACATGTACTTAATGTAAGTATGGTTAAATCTCAGAAATAAGGTCAGTACTGTTTATTTGTGTTATTTTACTTATAATGTTACTTTTAACAACTCATTAATGTCTACAATTGTAAAATTGCTAAGGCTTTTAAAAGTATATTTAATAATAAAAATTGTGTTTTCCATTGCCATGCACAAGGCTCTGATTGCTATGAACGGGACCGCAGCGGACATGACAGATCCCAACGACGGTGACATAGTAAATTAAAGTTTTAATATTAATAACTGTAGAACTTAGCAACACTGGCAGGCTATGTTCGTAAACCTAAATGTTTCCAGGAATTTGTTATATTATGTAAAATGTTTATGTCTAAGCTTTAAATTTCAAAATTCTAAATTACTGTTTTACTTAGGTAAGGTTTCTGAACGTAACCTTAAATTAGTTTGAACACTTGTTGGTTTTTAATATTTTTATTTTTCAGTATATTTAGTTTTAATGATTTTTTTATAATATATAATTTTTCAAGGGTTCTGTATCAATTAAGAACAATTATTCAGTTGAAGTTTTTATAATTGTTTTACTAACATGCAGCAAAATTTTTAATTTTTAACTTTTTCATATTATACTTTTATACTTAGGTAATTCCAAGTTGTAGAAGTTGTTTTACCATTTGAACTTGTTGCTACTTAAGTTGTTTCAAGCTGCTTGCCTTGCCCTCTACTCAGGTCTTACACTAAGATAAAACTTTATCGTATTAACCTCTGCAATAGCTGAATTTTTTTATTATAATATTTTAATTATATTAAAATAAATCTCATATTATGCTGATCTTCAGTGTACAGTGGACCCCCGGTAATCCGACAAACATTTTGCAGGGCAGTGTTGGACTATCGAATTTGTCGGATTATAGAGTACTGTCTAAAACCCCCCCTATAGTCCAGAATTTTTTATAAAAGAGTACCTTGTAATCTGACAAATTTCAGATCCAATAATAAGATTCTATATGTTATATATATGTACTCTGAAGTACAAGTTATACTTAAGATTTAAATCTTTCACCCTTCGCAAAAATCTTAATTCAAATGGCTCTATGCAGGTGGCATCATTAGAAAGTTTTTGTCCTGTATTAGTCATTAAACGTATGCCATGACAACTTTTAAACGTTATAGCCATCTCTTACTAGCCACAAAATCATCATTTTTATTATTCTTTTATAAAAATATTTAGCTTTCATGACCAACATGGGTCCCGAAATTGGTGCATGCCTATTTCTTTCCTGAAGAAACCACGTATAAAGCTTCTTCCACTTCTGGATGTTCAGCTTTCTTGAGTGTCTGTCTCTTGCCTGGCCCACAGTCAGTAGTTGACATGAACTGTTTAATCTTCTCAGGGTTTTTTTAATGTCATAAATTGTAGATCGGCCTACACCGTATTCACTTGCTAAACTACTAAACGATTCATAACGATTTAGACGGTCTAAAATATCACATTTTTCTTTAATTGTTAGTGTTTTGTGCTTTCGCTTCTTTGTTTGTGACGAAATTACTAGGTACGAATACGTAATACACAATGAATAAACAGTATACAGTGAACACACGCTAGACCGCACTGCTATCTTCATCACAACATGTATGTAGTCAAATTCAAACTAAGCAATCAGAATCAAAACAATACCCTATGCGTTGAGCACAATAGTGGTGGTGCGTACAAGTTATAACTTGCTCAATCATGCATTTGTGAAGATTGTCAAAAAAACATTAATAATAAATAATAGACCATGTAGGATTACAGGGGGTGCCAGATTAGACAGGGGCCGGATTACTGGGGGTCGACTGTAGTTGTTTTACTAACTTTTTCTTAAAATATATATATATTTTTTTAATTGTTCATTCATCACTTGGTAATATGTAATTATAATTTAAAAAAATTAATATGATGCATAAAAAGTTGCAGTCAGTATGCTCGAGCACTAAGGCTTCATATATGTATAAATACAAAACTATATTACAAAGTTGTATGCTATGATACAGATACCTTATGAAAAAGTATATCTAGCACATTTTTTAATTTCATTTATTTTCACGCTGTGTTGTAGTTAGTCTATTATTTTTATATAAATCTTTTTTCTTAAAATCTTTCCCAGTAACCTTTTTGCTTTTTATGTTATTATTTATTAAATATAGTTCTATTCATGATGTCAATCTTTGGCAGCATTATCATAAATGTTAATATAATATATTGATTGTTTATTAAAATTTTTAACAATAATTCTCTCAACAGGTTGCAACAGACTTCGGTCAAAATGTTCAAGTTCGCAACACATGTATATTCGGTGGGGCCCCCAAAGGACCACAAGGTCGTACTTTAGAACGTGGTGTTGAAATTGTCATTGCTACCCCTGGAAGGTTGATTGACTTCTTAGAAAAAGGTATAACATTATTCATTGTATGGAATAAAAATATAAGGCAGGCTCACTCCCGAAATTTATTTCATATGTGATTCAGTTTTTGATTTAAGCTCACATTGTTTCAAACCCAATTTTGAAAACTTTCACCCAAATCAATTTGAATTGAGAAACACAATTGAGTGGTGGTCAAGCATTATTAGCTCCCTTAGGAACATTCTTTTATCAGGAAACCATTTTAATGATTTAAAGATTGTGAAAGGTTGTGATGAAGATCATTCATCATCACAACCTTTCACAAGTCCACTGCTGCACATAGGCCTCCCACAAGGAATGCCACAGTGCACGATCCTGAGCCATCTTGCCAACCCACTTGCCAAGCGTGGTAACTGTAGTAAACATCTCCCCATGTGCAATGACACAAATGATTTAAAGATTCTTAAATACTTTATTACATTGAAGAAATTTTGCTTGATGTGAACTTACTTAATTTTTTAGTAATTATACGATAAATTATTAAATTCATAACGTATTTATATGACAATATTTTTTTCCTGATTAATTTAGAAAGTATATGTAATGCTTACTTTTGCTTTTTTTTCTCTTAGATACAACTAACCTACGTCGCTGCACATATTTAGTATTGGATGAAGCAGACAGAATGCTGGATATGGGCTTTGAGCCGCAAATTAGGAAAATCATTGAGCAAATTCGGCCAGACAGACAAGTATGTTGTTATTAGTTGAATAAACTAGATGCTACTATTTAAAAAAATTCTGTGTTACTATTTTGTTAAATTTGATGCGGGTGGTTCAGTACCATGATGCAGGTCCTGCATCCATCAACTTCCTACTTGCCTTAACAAGTCTTCACTCCATCTAATAGGGGGCCACCCTACGCTTTTCTTACTGGTACATCACCGCCACTCCAAAACTTTTCTTCTGGAATGGTTGTGGGTTCTTTGAATTATAGGTAGCAATCAACCGATTTCAGTTTACTGATCAGTTTGGCTATGTTAATTATTCTGATCATACTGCAGATATCACATATACGTTCCATATGCAAGATGTAAAATATCCAGATTGGGGCAGTGTGAAAAGGTGCAAGATATTTTTTGCTTCTGCACTCGCCTCTGTGGGTTGATCCACATGCTAAATGTGACGATTATGATAAATCATTCCTACAGTAGAAGAGTCTTAGAAAACATGAAAATTACTGACCGTGGTTTTTTCTGAAATTTCTCGAGTGTGTCATTTAAGAAAAAGGGACTTACAACTTAATATTTTTTCAAGGTACTTATGTGGTCAGCGACTTGGCCTAAAGAGGTCCAAAACCTGGCTGAAGAGTTTCTACATGATTACATCCAAATTAACATTGGTTCGCTGAGTCTTTCTGCAAACCACAATATCCTGCAAATTGTTGATGTGTGCGAGGAGTGGGAGAAGAATGACAAGTTATTGACACTGCTTAATGAGATATCTTCTGAGGAAGAAACAAAGACTATAATTTTTGCTGAGACAAAGCGAAAGGTATGCTTGTAAACATTTTATACAAGTTGTTTTTTTAAGTTAGTTCTTTGTTTTTAATAATAACTTACTTGACACTAAAGGTGGATGAAATCACCAAAACTATAAACCGCGCCGGATGGCGAGCACTAGCTATCCACGGAGACAAGAATCAGCAAGACCGTGACTATGTCCTCGGACAATTCCGACAGTCGAATGGCGGCATTCTGGTTGCCACTGATGTCGCAGCTAGAGGCCTTGGTAAGTATTTTGCAACCTAATTTAGCCTACAGGATTCATAATTCTTGGAATTTGGAATCTAACTGAAATTTCAAATCATTAAATGTCAAATTTTGACAATTTGTCAAATATGTAGTTACTGTTGTTGCCCAGAAGTTGATTATCTTATGTTTGTGCCACCGAATTTAATTTAGTAAAATATCAAATATTGCATTTAGATGCTTATGGTGGTGAATTTAGTCCCGCCAATGTAATTTATAATGTGATGGCATCAAACAGAAGATTCTGTATGTAACAGTTGCGAGGTTTTTTGTGTCTGTTGTTATGTAAAGGTGCTAAATCATCTCGCACTGTTGAACCGGGGTGTTACAAAGGTCTAAGAGATGTCAGGAGCGTAGTGGAAGGTAATTGATGCCATTGCTAAGTGATGTTGTATACAAATGTGGGCCTATATGGTGTTCTGAGAGACATATATTTTAAGCACGAAACGAACACTCCTTAAATCTTTAGTTGCAAACTTTAATGGACCATAGTTTATATAATCTGGCTTACGGGATGTGTTTGTTTAAATTCTTGTTTGGTAAAAGAGAAACAATTTACATACTTCCAGTATTCACAATTACCATAGCCAATGTTCAGATGGAAAAATTGACGTTTTTTTTAATTGTGTGGGATCAGAAAAATTATATTTTGTTCTACTTTTGAAGGGTTGTTGAATGTTTGTTGCTTTTTCTCATATTTTTTTTATCTTCATCATCAGTTAAATCAAGAACAAAAAAATTATTGGTGAATACTGGAGTCTTTTTACATTTACAATATTTATAAAGCAATGGTCCCATATTACCATTAGGAATGTTCCTTAGGCAGTAACGGAAGCCTTGTGAAATTTTATACCAAATGTTAGGTACAGTGTTTACAAAACAATAATTAATTAAAATTATGCATACAGCATCATATTTGACGATTATTTTCATTTGGTTCTCCGTTGCCTAAAAAACAATATAAATTTCCATGACTGACTTAGCATTATTATTCGTTGTTTTTATTTCAGAGGCGCATGCGTGCAGAGATATGGGCTAGTCTAGCGGTGTGTTGCTGACTTCACAATTAATGATAATTATGATTCTAATGATAAACATGGAATCATTAATGACAGCTAATGATTAGTTTGTGTCAGCGCACACTGTTTTTAAATGAGCATGCAGCCTCTATAAGTGTTGAATTTGAGATTTTTATTTGAAAAAACTTAATTACAGATGGTCTTACTATTCAGACAAATATGGTTTTGACATTTAAATAAAGATTTATAAATATAAACTCAGCTTTCAGAAACAATACAGTTCCCTATTTGAGCTAGTATTTTTTGGGTTACAATATTATGTTTGGCTTGTTATGTAAGACCATTTTTACTTAAAGTGAAAAATATGCTTAGTTATTGTGTCATGAGAGATTTACCGAACAAAACTAAAGGGCCTGCCCTACGCCACCTGACAATATAACTCAGTTAAATGTCAAAGATGAAAACATATGAGGACATTAAGTCAGCACACCGTTCGACTCTTGGCCTACAACACTCCGGAACCACTGAAGGGCATAAAACAGTTATTTCCAGCCGTGTCTGCGACCTGTGCTGTGTGACTACTTTTTCTTAAGGTAAATATTTGTCTAATTTTTGTGATAGATTTTGTTCACGAAAAGTTCTTCAGTAAATGACTTATAAATATGTCTTAGTTGTATGTAGATTGTAAAATACTGCTTTATGATACAATACAAACACTCGCGCCTGTCACCCAGAGGGGTAGGCAGGGACTACGGACTTTCATTTGGCGCGATCCTGACACACCTCTCTCGCCTCCTTTCATACACGCTTGTCGGTTAAGGGTACTCCCAATCTGGCCCATTTTCAATGTATCGCCGATTTGATCGATAAATCTTCGTCTAGGGCGTCCCTTCCCGACTTTGCCGTTCACTTCTGAAACATAAATTTGCTTTGTCACTCTTTCTTCATAACTAAACCACCGAAGCATTCCTCTTTTAATCCTAGTCACAACGTCATCTTGCAAACCACACTTTTCTCTTATCACACTATTTCTCACCCTGTCATTCAGATTCAGCCCTAGCATACTCCGTAATGACCGCATTTCTACAGCCTTTATTCTACTCTCATGCTTCTTCTGCAATACCCAACTTTCACTACCATACATTAAAGTAGGGACTAACACAGCATTATGAATTGCCATACGTGCCTTCTTTGACACATTCTGACTTCACAATAGCGTGTAGAGCCCCATTAACTCGTATTTCCTGCGTTCACTCGTCGTTCTATATCCTTATCATATCTACCATCCCTGCTCAATAAACATCCCAAATATACAAACTCATCCACTTGCTCAATCAACTCCCCTTCTATTCTTATTTCACATAACGTTTTACTTTCTTCTCTTTCAAAAACCATCACTTTCGTCTTACTTGAGTTTACTTTCATACCCCTTTCTTTTAATGACCAATTCATTAAATTAACCATCATTTGCAACTCGGCCGCCGACGATGCAAATATGACTTGATCATCGGCGTACAAAAGGCATTTGACGGATAACTCACCCATTCTCAACCCACATTCTTCAACTTTCAAAGTTTGCAAACAACTGTCCATAAATAGGTTAAACAGCCACGGAGAAGCTACACAACCCTGTCTGACACCTTTGTGAATGCCAAACCAGTCGGAGTAGGCCCCGTTGATCCTGACACAAGCTCTAGAGTCCCTATAAAGAGACTTGTAATGCCTGTATCAGACCAGCGCTCAACCCAAATGAGGTCAGTGTTTGCCATAACACGTTCCTGTCCACTCTGTCATAAGCCCTTTTCAAGTCCATGAACGCACAAAAAACTTTGTTTTTTGGCCAAAAATTTCTCCGCAATCATGCGCATGAAATAGACTTGATCCGTACACCCCATCCCCTTTCTAAATCCAGCTTGCACATCCCAAATTTTTTCATCAGTTTCTTCCATAACTCTTTCAATTAACACCTTAGCATACAGTTTACCCACAATGCTAAGCAAGCTGATACCACGGTAGTTTTTACAGTCCTGCTGCGACCCCTTTCCCTTATATTATTGGGACTATAACGGCTTTGCACCAGTCTTCCGGTACCCGCTTCAGTTCCCAACATAAATTAAACAAGGTGTACAGCAGGCCTGCAACCACACTCTCTCCAGCCCTTAGCATTTCGGGTGATACTCTATCATATCCGGCTGCCTTACCTGCTTTCATGCTTTTCATTGCTTTCATTATTTCATCTACACTTATCTCTCTTTATGATGTATTTATAAATAAACATTATTGTCCTTACTCATAAAATCAACGTCAACTTTCGTCGCCACCAAAAGGCAATAGAGAGAGGTACAGAGACAATTAATACTTAATACGCGATAATAAACGAGTATGGGTAAGGCCGAATATGTATAATTTGTTCCAATCCAATATACTGCAAAGGGAAAAATTATTAAGAATATTTTTAATGTTAAATATTCTAACGCAAATTTTCTTAAATAAACCAAATAAGTGACTCAATAAATCTACAAAAACATCGATTGTTTTGTCTGTATTTGAATTTGGAATTCTTAAAGTATTGAATAAATAATACTTCCAAATTGGAATACCTGTATGTTGTTTAAATTCTGTAAAATTGGATTCGAGCTAGAGTATATTATATTAGATTGCTAGCAATGTAATTGCAATAGATTTGTTTTTTTTTTCTTTTTCAAAATTTATGCTCTCTCTTCGGTTATTGTATAGTACAGTAAGTTATAGCACAACTGAATTTTTAACTCATGTTCTTTTACTTTATATATTGAGTCATTCAGAGTCAAGAAAACTTAAAAAATATAAACAGATATTGTTCATAATATACTCAAAGTTACTACAGAAGAAATAACTGAAAATTTATTTTAATAATTGAATGATATATAAGTTTGTTAGTACGACACGCGAGCCATCTACTGTAAGTTAATTCTACTATGCCTATAACCTATCTGCGCGCAAGTGCAAAAAATACGATAATAAAGTTTTATTACAATATGATGAACATAAATTACTTACTAACAAATTTTTATATATTAGATCATGTCAAACTAAACTATATTATTTAATTTTAACTATACTATATAATTTACACAGATTATCTTAAAGGAACAAAAAGAGTAGAAAGAAACATGAATTACAATATATTAATACACTTATGTGAATGCAGATGTGGAGGATGTGAAGTTTGTGATAAACTACGACTATCCAAACAACTCTGAAGACTACGTTCATCGCATCGGACGTACAGGACGCTCGCAGAACACCGGCACGGCTTACACACTCTTCACGCCCACTAACTCCGCTAAGGTATGACATGCATACATTCTTCCTATTGTTGATTTCTATGAAAGTATCATGAATATCTACATAAGAAAATCTATGTCTGCTCCCAGTAATGTTTCCTGTGGTCGAAATTCAACTAATTGTGTTTCTAATGTAACCGAATTCAACTCGCAAAGTGCTTTAGCTCATACAGTCTTGAAGGCAATTTAATAATAGAAATGCTTTCATTTAATTAGTTAAAGAATTATATAGAAAAATCAAGTGTATATTACACTCTTTGATAATGTCCTCTAGACCGAATGTCGATCACGCCGCCAGTTTCACAACAGAGACTAACCATATGTGCAGGACAGGATTATAGTGTACGAGTGTGTGTGTAAACACAGTTCCATTCTATTCGCACATTCTCATAGTTCGATAGGCAATCTGAAACAAGCAGAGAGAGATCACATGTAGGACCAACGGCTTTACCTACCTTTTTTAGTGTTTATTATAAAAGGGTAGAGAATGTAATATATAATTTGAATGGTAATATTCCATAGATATTCATGTTGCCACAAGAGGTATAATACTGCAGAGTACATTACTTACTTACTATTAGAGGTATTTTATTTGTGGTAAATAAATAATGACTTTCAATAAGTATTATGTAATAATCAATATTGAATAAAAAAATCATTCCACTCCATACTGCCTCATTGGTCTGGTGGTCGTAAGCGCTGACTCATGTGGTTGTGGGCTAGGAACTGGGTCATATTAAAAGCTGCACGTGGTGAATCGTTACCATTACCGTTACAGCCTATTAAAGTCCACTGCTAAATATAGACCTCGCCCATAGAATAGCAAGTAGGTTGGCAACCGCAGGTTTTTTATTTTTAGTTGTTATTAGGAAGACATTGCTGCCAATCTCCTGATTTGATTCCCTCTGTCGCCTTTTACAACACCCACGGGATGATATGGGGTAGTGGATATACACTAGATGGAATAAATACTAAAAAATGGTAGATATTTAACTTTTTGATGTTTACTTATTAATATTGTGGTGGCGTTGTCGTCGCGTCACAAGCGAGACACATCGAAGCCTAAATCGCGCTAACAAAGTTCCGAAGTTAAAAGCAGTAATAGCTTATAATTTAGCAGTAATAGTTAATAGCTCCGAACTACCACTCGGAACGTTGGCCGTTCCCCGGGCAGAACACCTTGCCCGGCGGGAGATCTCCCCTTTTCCTTCCACCGGCTGTAATATAATGATAATTGATAGCCAAATATTATAAACGCTTATTTTGTTTTAGGCCAAGGATCTCATGTCTGTGTTGCAAGAAGCAAATCAAGTTGTGAACCCGAGACTGTTGGAGCTAGCTCAGTGCGGGATGGGCTTTAAGGGAAAGTATGGTGAGTCTTACTACATTAATTGGCGCATAGGAGAAAATGCATTTAAAACTCAACAATAGTTCAAGACTTGTTGTTTGGTTGTAGAAATAGGTAAATAGAGGGTTGGTACCTATTTGGATCGTTTTCTGGTCAACTGAGGAGTCTCATCACCTAGTTTTTTCAGGTCTATTGCCACTAGACTGTATAAGTGGTAGAGCCATGCTGCAGCTATATTATAGTTGTACCACAAATGGGTTGTCTCGATCGGGGAAGGTTCAATAGCAGCTTAATATTGCTGTGTTAGGAAACGAGGTGTAGAGAATGGAGATCTTTTGTTTACTGGAAAATTTCAAATCTGTCCTCAGGCTTGAGAACACATATGCATTTTGGTTTTTAATCGAGGATAAGCTGAGATAAGTAATGTGTTGGTGTGTGCAGGGCGCGGGCGGTTCCGCGAGCGCGACGAGCCCGAGCGCGGCCGCGGCCGGGGCCGGGGCCGCGGCGGACGCTTCGGCGACCGAGGTCAGCTCATCTTATTACATTCTAATTATAACAATTATATAAATACATATTACCCTGTGTTAATGTAAACTGTACTTACTAAACTTGAACTTAACTCTTCACAATACACTGCCCTATGACCCAATTGACCCATTATCTATACATATAATAAATCTGTAGAAAAGTCGTGTAATATATTCTTGAAAAAACAAGTCCAGGGGACTAAATAAAGGGTTCTGAAGCTAATCATCATCATCATCATTACAGCCCTTCACAAGTCCACTGCTGAACATAGGCCTCCCCCAAAGAATGCCACAAAACACGGTCCTGAGCCACCCGCATTCATCGACCTCCTGCATGTCTTACCAGGTCGTCACTCCATCTCGTGGGGGGACGCCCTACACTTCGCCTACCGGTACGAGGCTGCCACTCGAGAACCTTTCTTCCCCATCGGTTGTCGGTTCTTCGAGCTATATGGCCGGCCCACTGCCACTTCAGCTTACTAATCCGTTGGGCTATGTCGGTCACTCTGGTTCTACTGCGGATATCCTCATTCCTAAGTTTATCACGCAGAGAAACTCCGAGCATAGCCCTCTCCATAGCTCGCTGAGCGACCTTGAGCTTCCTCATACGGCCAGCAGTGAAGGACCACGTCTCAGTTCCGTAAGTCATCACTGGCAACACGCACTGGTTGTACAATTTCGTTTTAAGGTTTTGAGGTATGTCTGACGAGAAGATGTGTCGTAGCTTCCCGAACGCTGCCCAGCCGAGTTGAATCCGTCGATTGACCTCTCGGTCGAAGTTGGACTTACCCAGTCGGACTATTTGTCCCAGGTAAACATACTCGTCAACAACTTCGAGCTTAGTGTTCCCAACAACTATCGGCATAGGTGTGACATGGACATTAAACATGATCTTAGTTTTGTCCATGTTCATCTTAAGACCTATCCGTTGGGAAACACTATTGAGGTCATTGAGCATAGTGCTTAGGTCCTCCAGCGATTCTGCCATAAGGACTATATCGTCGGCAAATCGAAGGTGAGTGATGTACTCGCCATTGATGTTGACACCGTATCCTTTCCAGTCCAGAAGCTTGAAAACGTCTTCCAATGCAGCGGTGAAGAGTTTCGGTGATATGACGTCACCCTGTCTTACACCTCTCTGCAATTGGATAGGTTTCGTACTCTGGTTCTGTACTCGGATAGCCATCGTAGCCCTACTGTACAAGCACTTCAACACTTCGATATACCGACAGTCAACTTGGCACCGCTGAAGGGACTGCAGCACCGCCCAAATTTCGACGGAATCAAAGGCTTTCTCATAGTCCACATACGCCAGACATAGTGGCAAATTGTACTCTTCGGACTTCTGTACAACTTGCCGAAGGGTATGTATGTGATCTATGGTGCTAAAGCCCTTTCGGAAACCGGCTTGTTCGGGAGGCTGGAAGTCGTCAAGTCTGCGCGCGAGACGATTCGTAATGACTCTCGAAAACAGCACGTAGACGCGGCTCAGAAGGGAAATCGGTCTGTAGTTTTTCAAGAGAGCGTTGTCACCTTTCTTGAAGAACAAGACCACCGCACTTCTGCTCCACGCCTCCGGTGTAATGCCACCATGGAGGACGGAATTAAAGAGCTTCTGAAGGACTTCAAGTACCGGTCTTCCACCCGCTTTCAGAAGCTCCGCTGTAATTCCATCCTCGCCTGGGGCCTTACCGTTTTTAAGGTGCTGGAGAGCCATCCTAATCTCGCTCAGACTGACATCCGGGATATCTTCGGAATAGTGTCGGATGAGACTCGCTCTTGGATCGTTACTCTCACTTGCGTGTGGCTCCAACGATGATGTGTACAGCTGCCCATAGAACCTCTCAATCTCACTCAAAATCTCAGGTGTCCCGGAAACGATGCTGCCACATTCTGTCTTCAGCTTTGACAGTTGGCTCTTTCTGGCAGACAGATCTCTGGCAAAGACTTTGGAGCCTTGGTTCCGCTCGATCGCTTCTTCAATACGAGCTGTATTGAAGTTGCGTAAGTCCCGCCGCATGCATTTGGAGATCTGTCTGTTCAGATGCCTGTATGCTGTCAAGTCTGTTGAAGAATGTAGCTTCATCTCCCGTCTAACAGCCATGAGATTAAGAGTGTGATCGGAGAGTTTTTGTGTTCTTCTGCGGCGGGTCTTGCAGAACTTAGCTCCAACCGCATGGACAGTTTCCACGAGCTTGTCATTCATATCGTCCACTTCATTGCAGTCTTCTAGGCACTGAAAACGGTTTTATAACTCGAGCTGAAAGGTTTCGGGACTTTGAAACAGAGCACGAGGGGGACGGAGCGTTGACTTCATTAGACGAGACCTCTCCAACTTAACGTTTAGGTTCAGTGTGCCTCTAACCATTCGGTGATCGCTACCAGTTTTCACCCTCGCGATCACGGAGACATCACTGAACAGTTGTCGTCTGGTCGTCATAATGAAGTCAATCTCATTTTTTGTGGAACCGTCGGGGCTCGACCAGGTCCACTTCCTGTGGGGCCGCTTCTGGAAGAAAGAGTTCATCATAAAGAGTCCCTCTTTCTCCATGAAGTCGGCCAGCTGCTGGCCCCTTGGGTTCCGTTGCCCTATTCCAAATTTCCCTACTTTCAGCTCACCGTTCTCTCTTGTGCCTAGTTTTGCATTGAAGTCTCCCATTAACACCGTATATTGGGTTTTGGAGGAATGCATGGCTCTAGAGATATCCTCATACATTTCCTCCACCTCCTCATCGGGGTGTGCCGAGGTTGGTGCGTAAACCTGTATGACCTTCAGCGAATACCGTTTGGTGATTCTGAGTATAAGGTACGCAACCCTCGTCGACACACTCCCGATTTTTACAACGTTGTTAACGAGAGACTTGTGGACGATAAATCCGACACCTCCTTGGGACAGATGGTCGCCCTCCCGGTGATAGAGCAAGTTGCCGGATTCGAGGATTACCGTGTCCTCCCCCTCTCTTCGGACTTCGGATAATCCTATAATATGCCAGCGCAACTTGTCTATCTCTTCTTCCAGCTCCACGATTTTCTCGTCAGTCCTCAGGGTGCGTGCGTTGTACGTTGCCAGGTCGAGTCGTCTAAGGTGGCAACCGAACCTCCACCGGAGATTCTTAGCACCCCCTGCCCCGCCGTTACCATGGTCGCCACCGTAGCCAGGAATAGCGGGGCCGCCGGGGACTGGCGGCCGTTTTTTTGTTGCTCTCATCATTGGGGGGTATTTGCCATAGTTGCCACGCTTGGCGAGCGGGTTGGCAACCGCAGTTTTTTTATTGTTAAGTTCTGAAGCTAAATAAGGGACTAAATAAAGGGTTCTGAATAAAATAAATTTTTAAAACTTTTGTCTGTTTGTCTGTCTGTGTATTCCGGATTCACGCAAAAACTACTGAACCGATTTACATGAAATTTTGTATGTAGGTAGTGAGTAAACCGGGGCAACTTATAGCCTACTTTTTATTTGATTACGAAACTTCAAAAAAGGAAGGTTAAGTATTTTATTTCCTTTAGATGTTAATTTTCTATTAAATCTTGGTTATAGGCAGGATGACGGGGGTGTTTTTCAAATAAATACCATATTTGTAAATAAAGTTTAGAATATAGTTATAATATTGGTATAATAATTTGAAACTACACCGATTTGGTATTCAAAACAGCGACATCTATCATCAAATGGAAAAAGTGGTATATTTTGCCTTCAGTTACTAATAAATTAAATAATATAAATAACTTTCATGTATATGATTAAATGATTAGATTTTTAAAATTATTAAAAAAACTCTAACATTTAGTTTTTTAGTATTTTTGTTATTTTATTTTAAAAGTATAATAATTTCGATAGATAGAATAGCAACGTCTATCAAAAATATGAAAATTGATAAGATATTTATTGCAATTACTAATATATATATATATATATATATATATATATATATATATATATATATATATGTAAAGTGATTAAAACTGGTATGTCTGCAATTGTTGCAAAATTTTCATTATCATGATAGTTCTATTTAAGAGATTTTTATATATGTTGTGGCCAGATTGTAGAATTGATCATATATCATAAACTAGTCTATCATTTCGTGAAATGGTGTGTTCATTTCATAATATTTAACACTTGTTTTTGTTTGTTGTGTTTAACATTTGTTCACCATGTCATGATATAGCTTGACCAAATCAATGAATAGAAATCGTTTGGAGATATTAATAACTAAACACAACGTTGCTATTTCATAATATGGTCATATGACGATATCATTAAATCGTTTTTCACCGCTGGCGGCGCTGATAGCTTATTTTTTTAACAGATACAGAGTCAATATTTCTTTCCACATATTTTGCCTTTCGTGGGATGCGAAAGAAATTGTTTAAAATAAATGTGTTCAGAACAAATGAACTAAAATGAGAAATAAACACATAATATTCCACTATGTAACTACCACTTTGCAATGATTACATTTATGTTTTTAGAAGAACATAACAAAATTAGAAAAATAACTTTTAATTCAATTGAGAAGTGACACGCAAAATCCTGGATCTATAGTAACTTCTTAGCTAAACAAAATCAATAAAAAATTAAAAGCAAAAACAAAATTTATAGTTAAAAAATTCTAGAAGATATGAATAAAATGTCTCAAATAAACATTATATTACTTTGTTAAAACTAAATTAACTTTAACTATGAATTAATGTAAAGAGTAAAATGTAAATAATAATAATACATTTTTATTTCAAGACTATTAACCTTTTTTATGGATACATCGGAATCGGAAGACGCCCGATATAAAAAATAGTAGGTGTTTCTAGACATATATATTCACGTGTTTCTGTAGCATGTTACCAATCATCTACGTCTAATAGCATTTTAGAATAAAAAAAATCTTTGACAGACAGAGACATAGACACCGAGGTGACTCTAAAAGTGATCGAATTTTTCTAAATTTGGAATGGAACAGCTTTTAATGATGTTCCTTAATTCAAGCGCACGCGAGCGAAGCCGCGGATAAAAAGCTAGTTGTATAAATAATAATAACACACACAATATAACACTCATAAATACAAATACAGATAAGTAAATAATGACTTAATTTTATGTAATACATAAATACTAGTACTATTTAATTTTACAATCTCAATAAATGTTGACCACTGAGGTTGTTTCATCACTAATTTAAGGAAAAGTCTATAGCTCGCTTTTCACTATGGGATATAATATATATTATATCCCGAGATATAAATTATATCCCACGGTTGACTTTCACACTGAGATATATCTTTTAACTAGTATGCGTTCGTCATTGGATTACCCCCTGTTCCCCGCACACCGTTCTGTATCGGCACGAAACGGTGTGCGGAGTACAGGGGGCGAAATATAATATGAAAATATTGCTCGGTCGATCGAAAATATATTTATAGTATGAGATGTAACGGTTCCATTAAAAAGTACGGTGAGCGATATCAATTTATATCTCTAGATATAATATATATTATACATTATATCCCATAGTGAAAAGCGGTCTTTATAGAGAAATAAATTTATTTTTATTCTTCGAAAGTAGTCCGCGTCCGTAGTCTACGTGCATTCACTTCTCTTTATTTTATCCTAAAATCTCCTGATTCTCCCAACTTATTTAACTCCTCATTTTCAATATCTTAACCCCAAACATGATAGAGTTCTCCGCTCTACTTCCTTCCTACCTTCTGCTTTAGTATTCATCTTATCACACATATAGGCTATAACTTCTATTTTTAATTTAAATATTAATTTTCATAAACGAATCCTGGAAACCTGAGAGAGTTGACAATTCTATCAACATCCAATCCACTATCTATATGCCATACACTGCATTCAAATAACAAACTAACATAGTCCATATTATAAAATATACTGCAAACTAATTTACAGCTTATATACAACATATAACGAAAGACAATAAAATTTGCTCAAATGTGTGTGTGCATGTGTGAATGGCCAGCATATTATGGTTTCTTCCACTAAAATAAATATGTTTTTAGAAAATGTAACTACTAAAGAAATATAAAGTTATAATGGTATGAAATGGCCATATCATAATCAAACCTTTTATAGGCTCAAGGTGGGATGAAAATGGCGGCTCAGGTGGCTACAACCAAGGCTCAGGCTTCAATAAACGTCCGGACTTCAATAACCGTCAGGACAGCTATAACAACCGTCAGGACAGTTCCAACAATCGTCAAGACAACGGAACCGCTCGACAGAGCTTTGGTAACAGGGATGGTGGATTCAATCGTGAGAATTCCGGAGGCTTTAGAGGTCGAGGTGGCCAAAGGGGCAGAGGCCGTGGAGGCTCCAGCTACAACCAGAACGATTCTCAAGGTTACCAGAACCAAAGCCAGAACTTCAATGTACCCCCACCCACTTCGTATTATAACATGTATTCTCAACCTCCCCCACCCCCTGCTGCTAAGTTTGGAGCCAAATAAAGCAACATAGGTTGTTTTTTTTGTAATATTAAAACAGCTTATACTTTGTGCAACAAATTTAAGGCAGGGATAACAATGATACTATGCAGATAGTATTGTAATTTCTTAGTTAATTTTCAGCTGAAAGCTGAACTTAAATAATGAACTATGTCCGAAACATTCAGACAAATTACGATCTATAGTTTATAGAAGAATTATGATTTTCAAACGTAAATGTAATAATTTAAATAAGACCAATTATTTGAATAACTTTGCACAAGTCTCATTCGACGCCTATTTTTCTCAGTTTAAATAAATTTGTGTCGTAACCTTATGTCTATGATCACAAAGTAATTGTTTTAGACATATGTACTATTGATAACTACATCTACAATCTTTATTTTATTATAATGGCTCCAACGTTTCAACTATAGCTTGAATCTGACCAATAATCTTCAATTAAATTTGCATTTATCAAAATCAAACAATTATGGTGCTCTGAAGGGTAGGATGATCTATAACCGCTGAAGAACAGATAATCTGCTGGCAATATTAAAATCATAGCTCTGTATTTGCAGTAGTAGGGTACAGACACCTATATCAGTTTTATCTTAACATTATTTTCTAATTTCCTGAATAATTGCTAGTTCTTTTAATTTTCAGCAAATAAAACTTGTTACTTAGACATGCACAGTGTATTTTATTAGTAATTACCAATAATTAATGGTGTTTTAGTGGAAACAGAAAGACGTAGTTCTCCAATTCCATCACTCAACAGTTTTAAACTTAAAACTATATGTTTGACATTCCTACATTGTATGAAATAATATTCATTGTCCATTTTTTGAATGTGCAGTACCAAATAAATATATCTGTAATAAATACTTTTTGTTTTATTTTACAAACACAAGCACAAGGCATTTGCGTACACAAAATTCAGCTTATATAACGTCATCAGTGTAGCAGTATGACTTTAGGATCTGATTTAGCCTTCTTTCAGATCCATACAATATTTTATAAAAATTAACACATTCCTTGTCTGGAGTCTGGACATATGGGTCATTGCTATTGTCTTACTATCGTGTCTGGAAACCGAACAGTGTTAATAGCTTATATAGCAAAAGGAGACCTACATAATTAAGGACGCGTTTACAAAATTGATAGGTATAGAATCGAACTATTACATTGACACGGGTCACACACACAAGTGTACGCACGGTTAGCTGCGGGAATCGCAATCAAGTATAAACATTTTGATAATTTGAAAGATTTTTTTTTTCATATTTCTTATACCTACAAAAATATACTTAGATACGAAATATAAATGGCTGCTCCAGAGACAGCTAGGTACTAGAAGCCCTCTACAGGGAGTGAGATGTTGGCTGTAGACTTTAGGCTGGTTTTGTTAGTTATGATAACTTCAGCTCCGAACTTGGTGAAGTGACTTGAAGGTATAATTGGGTGACTGCTACTGGGAGTCCGGGACGAGTAGTACCATGTGTGCCGAGTTTGGGCTCATTATGTTAGTTATTTTAAAAAAAGTCCCGCTGGGTTTCTTGCTGGTTCTTCCCAGGACAGAGGTTTTTTCCGAACCAGTGGTAATCAAACAAAAGAGTGACTTTCAATAAGTATTATTTATAATCTATATTGAATAAAAAAGTTTCTGTTTCTGTTTCTATGATGAGACCTTACCTCCGGACTGGATGGAGACCTGAATGTGTGCTTCGGTGATTGCTACTGGAACTCCTCGACGAGTAGTCACCGAAGTTAACCATCAGGGCTCTCTATCAAGTGCGGAGGTAAGGTCTCATCATAACTAGAGGTTTACCTCTGCGTTGCGCTTGGTGAGTGCAGGTGGCCGGAGGCCCAATTCCCCCCCCCCCCCCCCCCCATCAACATGGTAGTGGAATTAAATAAGACTACCCCAGGAGGGTACCAGCACCCCTGGAGAATCCCTCGCTGAGCATCCACGACCAAACTACTTCACTCCTGAGCGTGGGTGCTCAGGCTGCCCCGCGTATTCTGAGGGGGGGGAGGCAAAATTCCGCTCAAAAACATAACTGCTCGGAGCAAACTGAGCAACAATACCAAGGCGACCCCTGCCACACTATCCGTGAATTTTTGCAACAGCAGGGGACTTCATTCCAACCTTAACGCTGTCCATTATCATCTAGAGACGGCGAAGCCGGCCTTGCTCTTTTTAACCGAGACTCAGGTGTCCTCTCCGGCTGATACTTCATATCTCTCCTACCCGGGATACAAATTGGAACACTCCTTTGTGCCCCGGGCTGGAGTTTGTGTATACGTCAGAGAGGACATCTGTTTTCGACGCCTCGGCAGCCTTGAAGGTACGGACCTGTCCATCCTATGGCTGCGCGTAGACAGCGACGACCATCCCCGCGTCTACGGGTGCTTCTATAGGTCCCATAGCGGTAATGCCGACACAGACCGACTCAGCGACCACGTCCAAATGGCTGCAGACTCCGTGCTACAACAGGTCCCATCCGCAGAGATCGTGATACTCGGTGATTTCAACGCCCACCACGCTGAATGGCTTGGTTCTCGTTTAACCGATCATGCGGGTAGATCTGTGTACGACTTTGCTTTGGCATATGGTCTAACACAACTGGTTACTTCGCCTACGCGGATCCCAGATGTGGAAGACTATGTACCTACCCTGTTGGACCTTCTGCTGACCTCTCATCCGGACGGATATCAGGTCTCCGTCGATGCCCCTCTGGGCTCTTCGGACCATTGTCTGATCCGGAGCACGGTGCCACTCACGCTTCAATCGCAATTGCGATCTGCAGCTTGCCGCCATGTTTGGCACTATAGGTCAGCTGATTGGGACGGGATGCGGTCTTTTTTTGCATCCTACCCTTGGGGGCGGGTTTGCTTCTCGCCGGAAGATCCCAGCGTTGTTGCCGATTCTGTTGCTGATGTGGTACTTCAGGGTATGGAACTTTTTATTCCATCCTCTGTGGTGCCCATCGGAGGCAGATCCCAGCCATGGTTTGGTCGCTCCTGTAAAATAGCATCACGCTATAAGCAGGAGTGCTACCGGGCCTGGGCTGACGCATCAACGTCTCAGGATTTAAACACCAGCGCACTTAAAAAGAAGTATAATTCCGCCTCCAGGTCCTTCAAAAGCGTCATTGCCAAGGCAAGGTCTGAGCACATCGGCAGAATTGGCGAGAAGCTAGTTCGCCTTCCTTCGGGAACCCGTGCATTCTGGTCTCTCGCCAAGGCTGTCCACTGTCCAATGGAACTTCTGTCAGCCATCCTTTCCATCTCTGCACAGAGAGGACGACTCACTGGCCCATGCCGCAACAGAGAAAGCTGATCTGTTGTGCTCTCTTTTTGCGTCTAACTCGACTCTAGATGACGGGGGGAACACACCGCCGACCATCCCGCGATGTGAGTGCTCCATGCCGGATGTGCGATTTACACAGCGCTCGGTTCGCAAAGCACTCTTCTCCCTGGACGTCAGTAAGTCGAGTGGGCCCGATGGAGTCCCTCCTATTGTGCTGAAGACGTGTGCTCCGGAGTTGGCACCGGTTTTAACGCGTCTTTTCCGGTACTCCTACTCCCAAGACGTAGTCCCGAATTCATGGAAGACAGCTTTGGTCCACCTGATCCCTAAAAAAGGCGACCGCTCAGACCCGTCCAACTACAGGCCTATCGCCATCACCTCCTTGTTCTCCAAAATAATGGAATCCATTATAAACTGCCAGCTCATGAGGTACCTTGAGGATCACCAGCTGATCAGTGACCGTCAGTACGGTTTTCGTCGGGGTCGATCAGCAGGTGATCTTCTAGTTTACTTAACTCGTAGATGGGTGGAGGCAGTAGAGTCCAAGGGGGAGGCATTGGCCGTTAGTTTGGACATAGCGAAGGCCTTCGATCGGGTCTGGCACAAGGCGCTTCTTTCGAAGCTTCCTTCCTATGGGCTTCCCGAGAAATTGTGCATATGAATCACCAGTTTCCTTGCTGATCGGAGCATCAAGGTCGTAGTAGACCGTGCATGCTCTGATTTCAAGCCTATCAACGCTGGTGTTCCACAAGGCTGCGTGCTATCACCAACGCTGTTTCTCCTGCATATCAATGATATGTTGCTAACTGGTAGCATTCATTGCTATGCAGACGACAGCACTGGGGATGCCTTATATACCGGCCGTGCCAATATTTCTCGGGAAAACGTCGCCGAGTACCGGGACAAACTTGTGTCTGAAGTCGAGTCTTTGCTTAACAAAGTCCAGTTCAATCCCCAGAAGACACAAGTTTGCGCGTTTACCGCTAAAAAGAACCCCTTTGTCGTATCTCCTCAGTTTCAAGGCACTCCCCTTGCTGCCTCAGCCAGTATTGGAATCCTTGGCGTCGACATATCGAATAGCGTGCAGTTTCGTGGTCACTTGGAAGGGAAGGCCAAATTTGCCTCTAAAAAGCTTGGCGTGCTCAGCAGAGCGAGACAGTATTTCATGCCGGCACATCGCTTGCAACTTTACAAAGCGCAAGTTCGGCCCCACATGGAATACTGTTCTCATCTCTGGGCCGGGGCACCCCAGTGCCAGCTTCTTCCACTTGACCGCATCCAGCGCAGAGCGATTCGAATCGTCGACGACCGAGTCCTTTCCGATCGGCTCGACTCATTGGCACTGCGAAGAGATGTTGCATCTCTTAGCATTTTCTTTCGCATTTACCATGGGGAGTGCTCTGAGGAATTGTTCGGACTAATTCCAGCCGCTCAATTTCACCATCGCACGTCGCGACAAAACTCGCGTTACCATCCATACCATCTGGATGATTGGCGGTCCACCACTGTGCGATTTAGAAGAAGTTTTCTCCCTCGCACAACTTCATTGTGGAATCAATTACCACCAGCGATTTTTCCGGACCGATACGACTTAGGAAACCTTCAAGGAAAGAGCTTACACCTTTCTAAAAGGCCGGCAACGCATCTGCAATTTCCCTGGTGTTGCGGTTGTTCATGGGCGGCGGTAGTCACTTACCATCAGGTGAGC